GACTACTGAAGACAGAGTGAACTGATTTGCGCATAGGGTTATAAGTCGTGAAACCCCGCAACAGTGTCGACAGATTAATGCGATTAGGGTTATAAAGTGTGAAACCCCGCAACTGTGTGATAATTAATTGTAGCCGTTATTTGTAGATTGTTAAATAAACCAATTAACCATCTCTACGGCGTCTTCAGTAACGCAAACACGTTACAATATCAATGATCTAGAAACCAGCATTGAACATGGAAAACCAACGTTTTTTGCAGACGATACTAGTATCCTTATAGCAGGAAATGGTGCTAATGATGTCCAAAGGAAAATAAATAAAACAATAAATGCACTCACAGAGTGGTTTGAAAGGAATAGATTAATTATTAATAAAGAAAAAACAATAGCAATATCCTTTCATCAACCTCAAAAAGTGCAAGTTGAATGCCCATCAATAAAGCTCTGTGATAGTCATCAGTTTTACAGAACATACAAAATTTTGGGGAGTTTGGCTGGATAAGAATCTAAGATGGACTGCACATACTCAACAACTAGCAAATAAATTATGTAAAATATGATTTGCCTTATGAGTAGTCAAAAGAGTATCAGGGTTAGAGACTGTTCGCACCTTATATTATGCTTATTTTCAATCCTTATTATTATATGGATTGATATTTTGGGGTAATTCAGGAAATGCAAAACTGATCTTTAGGTTGCAGAAGAGAGCTATTAGAGCTATGATACAAATCCTGAAAACTATTAGTTGTAAATAACATTTTAAATCATTACATACATTACCTTTACCATGTCTGTATATATATGAACATTCTAGTTTACATAAAAACCAATTTGAATGCTTTCATAACCAATTCAGGAATACACTTGCACAATACAAGGAGAAAAGATGACTTGTTCGTAGTGCCATGTAATACGAGTCTATACAAAAACAATTTCAATAATATTGGACTTCGGTTGTTAAATCAGTTGCCACATTATATTAAAGAGATACCAGTACTATAAAAGTTTAAAAAGACTTTGAAAACATTCCTACTTGATCACTGTTTCTATAGTATAGATGAGTTTCTCTTCTTTGGGGACAAATCCTAGTTCTAATCACTTGTAAACATATATCTCAAGATTACTTAACTTGTATATTTTAATATTAGTACATGTATCTGACCTATCCAAACCAATATTATTTGCAGACGATACAAGCATCCTTATCTTTGATAAGAATCCTGCAACATTTAAAATTAGAATAAATAAATTATTTGATATTATAAATGAATGGTTTAGGAAAAATGAGCTAGTAATAAATTATGAAAAAACTTATTTTCTACAGTTTAGAACTAAAAACAGTAAAAACTTAAATGTTCAAGTTAGTTATTTAAACAATCAAATTCCAAGTATTTCTAATATATCGTTTCTGGGATTAAAAATGGAAAATTTTTTAACGTGGGAAAGTCATACTGATGCAGTAATTGATAAGTTAAACAGATCCTGTTTTCCAATCCGATCACTTAAATCCTTTTTACCACTGGAGACATTAAAAATTATGTATTTTTCTTATGTACATTCTATAATAACATATGGATTAATATTCTGGGGTAACTCGCCGCATAGTATAAAAGTGTTTAGGATGCAGAAAAGGATAATTAGGATTATAACAAATACAACAAAGAGAACATCGTGTCGTAGTTTGTTTCAAGGATTGAATATCCTCCCCCTACAAGCTCAATATATATTGTCGATTTCCCTGTTTGTTATAGCAAATAAGGAATTATTCACATTCAACTCACAAATGCATAATTGTAGTACCAGATCTATCTGTGATCTGCATTATCCGCAAACTAGTCTAACACAATTCCAAAAAGGAATATGTTACATAGGGGTAAAGATCTTTAATCATTTGCCACCAAAAATCAAATCTATGTCTAATGACTTGAAAAATTTTAAAATTCAGTTGACAACATTTTTATTGCAAAACCCTTTTTATACATGTGACAAATTCTTTAGTAACAAATTTGCCTATAAATAAGGATAATAACATAAACAATTTTAATATTGCATAATTTTATGTATAGTGATGTAAGACTGTAAATTTAACACGTTTTTTTATCTATTATAATGATTATAAGCTGTACATACAGGGTGTCGCAGGAGGAATGGACCAAACTTCGGGAGGGTGTTTCTTATGTTAAAGTATGCCGATATAACCCAAAACAACTATGTCCACAGTTGAACGGTTACGGAGATAATGGCCTAAGAAAAGTGTGGTCTTCTGGCAGGTCCACGCACTGTACCTCTCAGCTGAGAGGCCTTATCTATGTTTGTCCTTGAGTGCCGTGATTCACACTAGCCGTACGTATGTAGTTGGCTTTATCAGAACGCGCAGTCAA